ACCTAATAAAGTGGCCGGTGAGTGTATATCCAACATCCAGCCCAGCTGTTCTTAACTAAGTTTTGTCTATTTATCTTTAGTGCCTCATGCCAATTTTGTGTTTTAATATTGCTGATAATAATTGTTCCAACATAGAAATAATCTACCAAACACAAATTTTCTTAATTTTTGTGCTAGGTTTGTTTGAACTCTGCTGATTCAAGTTAAATCAGTGTGTATACCGAACAGTCAACCAAGTTAGAAGTAATACATATAATACATGGCAGTCTGGCAGAGCATTAGTGTCTGAGACACTTACACAATTGAGCCAAAACTAAACTTGGTTGAAACCAAGGGCCAATCACTGTCAGTATTTATCGACAAAATGTTACATAAATTATTCTTATTGAAATACAAACAATATTACACACTGTATGTAGTGTTTAGAACATACTTAGTCTAACGGATAAAGAAAAAAATAGTAAATTTAGAGAGAAACATCTTTAACATTCATTTCATGTGCCTTACTCTATCAACAACTTTTTCCACAATCCAGCAAATCAGTGACAAAAAACTATCACTAAAAATCCAATATTTGACTTTAAAATAAGATGAGAATACAACAACAACAACAAAAAGATAATTAAAGTTGATTCTCTGTTGCTCTTTCCACACTAAAATTAAAGTACTGAAAAAAAAATAAACTTAATTTTCTTGGCTTGAATATTGTTCAGCTGTCATGAGAAGAATGTGACTACAGTGACTAAAGAGAAACCATAAAACTCTTTCACTTTTAAAGTATTACCTTTGGGGCCAGGCAAAAATGTTAACGAGGGCCAGATTTGGCCTTTAGTTGGACATGTGGCTTAAGTTTTACTGAGGATGAATACAGATGAGTAAACATGGTGACATGAAAAATAGAAGAGGAAATGAGGACATCTAGAGACAAAAAAACAGAAAAAAAAAACAAAGAGCACACAGGCGATGAAGATTTTATGGAATGAAACTTTCACAAATAATTTTGTTCAAAGTGTTTTCAAAGCCATTCAATGTTTATCATAATGAAAGAGGAAAACAATCCAGGCAGTTTAGTTTTCTCACCTCTTTATTTCCATCGCAGCCATTCAGTGGATGGAGCTGACTATAATGTGATATTAATAACATCCAAACACTTTTTCACTACCAGCAGCTGAACACATACTGTATAGCAACATGTCTCTTTAACCAAACACATGATAATAAAAAAAAAACAGATCAATAAAACCTTGTAACTGTCAAAACATATTTTGACATTCATGCAAAAAAAAAAATAGAATTTCTGTTGTGTTAAACAGCCCTACAAGTAGAAAAGTATTTAAACTTTGCTTATAGAAATCTTAAACAGAAAGACAAACGGTCTCTCCACAGGTGGTTATTTCTGCTTTGTGAGGTTTTCACCAGCAGGCCCCACAAGCTTTCTCTTGATCGGAGCCACACTCCTGGATCTGRGTTCTGTAACAAGACAAAAATCAAACTGATGTAAGAGGACAGAAATATATAAATAATCTGCTCTTTTTACACACATTACTCACACAGGCACTTCCTTGCAGTTATAGTTAATTCCTTCAGCCAGCTTGGTCTTTAACTCTTGTAAAGATGGATTTGCGCAGTTTGTCCTGAAGAATAATAAAAAAAACACTCTTTAAACAGTTTATTGATAAAAAGATGTCACTTTTATATTGCTACCAAATGTACCTAATCATAATAAAGGAAAATGGTGTGTTTAATAGTAATAATAATAATGATAATAATAATAATGATGATAATGATAATAATAATAATGATGATAATG